GTCCTGAAGGATTCGGCCAATTTTTTTAAATCCCAGTCCGTCTTCTTCATTTCTAAAAAAAAAAAAAAAAAAGGACAGGTGTCTTTGAAGACCCCTCCTTGTTACTCAGCAACGCAAGGAACCGACAGCAGGAGGTTTGATCTGAGCACGACGCACGCAGGTATTCAGTCTTATCTGCTTTAGCAGAAAGTGTGTGGATACATGTAGATTTCGCTAACCGTCATTTTTACCCCCAAACATCTGTTGGTCTAAAATAGTCCAAGGCACAAAATTATACAATGATTGTCAGTTGTATGGATGAGAATGCCTGCTTGATGTCGGAGGTCAGAGATCATCAGAGGTGTATGTGTAGACTGTCTGGTGATCATAGAAAAGCAACAGAAGCTCAGATAACCAGGGAATAGCATCTTTGAACTTTGATATCTCTGCGCTACAGCAGCAGAGGACCGCACCAAGTGCCACGACATTTCCCACTTCAGGCTCATCAAAACTGGACAATATCAGCTTGCAAAAAAAAGTTGCCTGGTCTGATGAGTCGTGACATCAGCTGCAATATTCAGAATTAGCAATACAATCAGCTTTATTGACCGATTTCTTCCCGTCTATCTTGGATAGCTAGCGAGCTATCTTTGGAAACAGGCTCCCTCAAACATTGGTTTTTGTTTCACCCTTCTGAAGCAAGTGGTGGGAAGTGGTGGGAGGTGACAGAGTGTCTGTTTCATCCTACGAGAAATATACTCCCAGGGAGACAAAAAGGTAAAGGAGAAAAAAAAAACGTGAAGAAAAGCAGACAAATCGCCCAGAGGAGCTGAGAGAAATTCATCTTTTCTCACTAATCAAGATCAATGTCTTTCCACCTGAACCCTGGTTGTGAATTACATCAAGCCACCAGCTGTAGCTTGAGACGCAGCACACAGATGCTGCAGTCACATCTGTCTGCTGTCCTCCCGTGTTATTTCTACCACGTTCTCTCTCTCGTGAGCCCAACAAAGATGGCGGCTTGTAACAGAAATAACAAGCGGGGTTTAGGGCAAAAAGAGCAGAGAAGTACAAGATAAACTGTAATAATAATCACAAAAACCTTGAATGAATGGCCTTGACAGGGTGGAAGATAGTACAGAGATGTAAGCAGGAGAGCAGAGGAAAAAAATAAAATAAAATCAAGCAGGCAGCAGCAGTCGCCCCTCCTGCTATCCCAGTGCACTTCAGATGAACCTTCTTAGTGGAGCAAAGCGGAGGGGAAACTCGCCGATTTCTTCTCCTTATCTAGATCTCAGACTCTTTCTTACCATGATTTCTCTCACTCTGTTCCCTCCCTTCAATTTTGTCCTCTTACAACCCCTCAGCACTCACTGATTGGGAAAACATCCATTTAGACAAACTCCTGCTTTGGAGGAGCAATCACTTTGAAACAAAATGCATGATATTCAGAACATGCATGTGATGGGCTGGGCAGCTTTGAGGCAGTAGAGAGTTAGTATTGCGTCTGAGTAATTTTCCAGCCACTTAAAACCTTGTGAAGATCAGAACATTCATATGTTACAAACCCACAACTTACAGAGTCTGTTTACCACGACTGCAAATATTTTATAAAACATAAACCGTGGGAACCTCATTTTAGTCTACATCCTCTCTCCTCTCCTAGCTGGTCGTCTTTCGTCCAGCCCTGCTTCCTTCTGCTAAGCGATATGTAGAACAGGAAGCCGTATGTGGGTCAGACCACTTATGTATAATATACACAGGGAGTTGAAGGTGGAAACCTACGCTGCAGAAGAAATAAGTCATGGGATTTTGTGCATCCTTGACATTTGAACGCTCCTTTCTTTACATCCATAGAAATGTGGAACAGAAGTGCTTAGTGTCTCGGCAGAAGCGCGAATTCAAATCCGTCCCAGTGCCACCAACTTCCTCCGTCCAGCTGTCGTTCTTGGCGGGCGTCCAGAGTGGAACTGTACATTTATTTTAGATAACAGCTGGAGCGCGAGGAAAAGAGACTAATCCAAACATTCGACTGGAATAGAGTTAAAAAGGTCCTGCCAATCCTGGTTTCCCAACACTTGCATTTCTCCTCGCCGATGCAGCTCGCATGAATGCAGAAACACATTCCCATCGCTGATCTATCCCCCTGCTTGCCGCTCATTGATCCCAATAGTTGGAAATGCAGATTTGTTCGCTGAAGGCCACAGCGAGACTCTCGCTCCAAATGTCATGGCGGGATTTGGAAACATTTTCCCAGCAAGTGGATGTCTCAGCACGGCTTCAACAAATCTGCAGAGTAACTTTTCAGATTGGTCAAAGAAGCGGATTTTGGCCGACAGGAATGAATGGGAAGGAGACCCCGGACTGAAGACTCTATCCGGACAGACTGACTGGGGAAACTTCATCCTTTATTTCCATCTTGCATTTTGTTACGTCTTAAACTTTAAACAAAACCTATTTGTTTCATGTTGAGCTGAAGGCTGCTGTGTCAGATCTCTCTCTGGTGGTGTGTCAGGCTGCAGCTCGAGGAAAGCCATTAAGGGTGTAAAGAAAATAATTTAAAAAGAAAAAAGCTCCAGAAGAAGCAAATATTCATGCTTTAATGATTAAAATTCTGCAGAGGAACACAAAACTGTAATATTTTTGCAATCTACAAGGAAAAAACCATCCTACTGTACTCAGCTTTAGCAGATTATTCCAGTTTTTAAGAGCTCCACCTGGTCAAAAACTCAAAGTAAAAGCCAAGTTTTAACTTCATTAAGGACATCTGTTCATTTCGTTTATTAAAATAAATTGTTCAATTTTAATTTTACAGCATTCAGTTGGAAAACTGTAAAATTAACAATGCAAATCTGCATAAATTATTTCACTCCCACCACCAATATCCACCAGTATGGTTTGTATGCCAACTTGTTGAAATTTACAATCCCAACTGATGACAATAAGAGATGAGGCGACCTTACTGACCTCTGTGACGTCCATGACCTTGATGGCCGCCAGCTGTCCCGTCTTAACATGTCGACCCTGGAAAACAAACGGAAAGAGATGAAAAAACCGTAAACCAGTGATTCTGGGTAATCACTCAATATATGTGCCTATTTGTCATGCGAACAGTTCTGCTGTAAGCCAATCCGTCGCACAAAGAGACAATGATGACAATCTGACTTCCTCCATTTTGTTTACAAAAGCATGAAAATGACCAATTTCCTCTGTGGACCAGCTTTGCAAAGTGATGCTAGGAATCAAAAAAAGCCTCTGAAATGACAGTTTTATAGGCTGCGAAAGCATTTGGGGTGATTCATTCGGTCGTAAAACCAAAAACCGCATTGGAAGCCTGTCATTTTCCGCCACAATAGCACAGAGAATCACAGACGAACATCCAAACATTCAGCATTCTTTAACAGACTTAACTCAGTGTCTTCAGTGTGCATTCATGCAAGGAGAAAAAAAAAACACAACCCTACACCAACAGAGCACAAACATACTCTTGTTATACCCAGTACAGACAGAAACACACTATGAGAGTTTTCTTTTCAGCTGGACAGAAAGAGCCTCCAGTAAACAGAGAGCAAGAAAACCCTTTAAAAGACAGAAATGACGGACGCATCAACGGTTTACGACTACCAACCGTCACCACAGCTGGGAAAAACGGGGGAGAAATGCTGTTGGACCTCGTCATTTCACACACGTCTGCACTGCCACATGATCCCACTTTCTTTTTTGTGGGAAAACGGGAGCTTTGACACCCAAAACCTTCGGCCCTGCGGGGGCCGAAACGAACGGGTGAAGTCCGCAATCCCGACGACGAGAGATTAACCCATTTGAGCTCGGCCACTGGAGACGTGTGAGAGTGTGTGTAAGATATGTGTGAGGGCGGGGTTAGTGAAAAAAGGTCAGGGCTGGTTGAGAGTGACATGAGAACAAATGTGAGCTGGTGTTAACCCGAAAACGCCGCAGCGCCAGAGACACGTTGGCAACTTAACAAACACAAAGAAAGAGTCCTCTATGAAATGTTCACTGAGTCTTCTTGAAATATAAATATCAAACTTTCATTCATAATGCTGATCTTTCAGAATTTCATAGAAAAGTGGACAAAACTAAATATTTTTCTGACTAAAGCCAAAGCAAGTGGCATTGGAGAAAAGCATACAACAGCACAGTGAAATATTAAACCCCCAACTATGAAGAAAATTTAGTCGAAACTAACAGGGAGCCTCGTAACAAAAATCCCTTTTTCCAAGAAGGCAACTTGTCTGTAACATAACCTTTGACGTTATAGAAGATCGTTGTAATTGCGAGACAATAATAAAATGACTAACTACTAAATGTGTTTAATGAATTCATGGTGCCTGAGTTGTGTCCCTCAGACACCGACATCAGTTTTATAACAAACCTAAAAAAATGTTGCGATTATTATCTATTAAACAATCCGATCAGCAACATGTGCTCCCCACACGGCGGAGTTAACGAATCTTTCTTTATGCACTTAAGGTGACAAAGAGGTGTTGAAGGTTTCCACTGACATCTGTGCTGATGTTTTGATTGTTAAAAATACAACAAACTGGAAAAATTTTCAGCTTAATATTTGAAAAGAGTTTGTTTTGTGATCATCTATGTACAAACTTAATTGTACATAGAGTATTAAGTATTGGAATGAACTGCGCAAGTCCGTACAGTGGAGCTCCGCCTTTCGCAGTTCAGTATTCGTGGATTTACCTATTTGTAGCTTTTTTTCTAGAGCATATCTATAAAAATTCAAAAGAAAATGGAGTTAAATCCCCACCCGCCGACATCCTCTTCTGTAAAGCTAAAATACCGCCACTATTTGACATGCTACTTAATGGCATTTGCAAAAAGGCAATCGAGGGCTGCCATTTTTTTATCCTATTAGCAGTGATTAGCTGTACCTCCAAGAGCAGAAATAAGGAAGATAGTACACATTAGCTTCTGCAGCAGTGTTAAGATGGCTTCCATTGTGTGTTTTAATGCATATATCTGGAATTCAACTTTGAAAATAGGCACTTTTTTGCATTTTAAGAGTCACAAGTATTTTCAGATTCGCAGGTGATTGTTGTTCCTAACATTAGAAAAAATTAGGAGCTCTTTGGAATCGGGAACAAAAACGTAAATGTGTTCTATGAAGAAAGATCAAATTTGATTCTGGCTCCTAAATTCCAATCCTCGATTAACTCTTGCGTTCATCTCTTGGTTGTATCATCTCTTCCCAAACGACGACACACAGACACACTTCAATTCAAATCTCAACCAATCTTTTGTCCCCATTTCGACAGACCAGCTGAATAGATCAGACTTTGTTCCAAGTCTCCACAAACTGTTCAGACCTCATTGGAAGCGCCGCATGAGGAACATCACATGTGACCCCCGACGATCTGAGCACACTTTCACTCGCTGACAAACGAGCTCAGGTGGACACACACACCACACATCAACACACACACCACACATCAACACACACACCACACATCAACACACACACCACACATCAACACACACTCCAGACAGACTCGTGAAGCAGCTGGTATCATGCAGATTACATCATGACAGACATTAATGAAGAAACGTGACTTTTTCCTTCCTGGGGTTGAGTTTCACCGAGTCTCTCAAGTGAAGAAACCCCCCCACCCACATTTATAACTCCCCGCTGTTCACACACACACTGTGTGTGTGTCTGTGTGGGAAAATGTGATGCATCACTGAACTAATCACCCAAAAGATGTTGCTTCAACTGCTAACATGTTTCTGTGGCTGAGCCATTCCTTTGTGTTTGAGAAAGGTGACCTCAGTACGGAGTCCCCCTCCCCACCCGCCGCCATCCCCTTCTGTAGTCCCGACGCACAAAAACAGACCCACAACGGCTAGAAGATGACATCACCCTCTCTGGTTCCTTTGTTCGACACCGAGACGCAGACCCACGCACACACCTGGCCAGCCCAGAGAGAGAAATCCCATCTGTCTGCCATTAAAACGGCTCTCAATCTGCTGATGACAGACGTAGACCTAATCAGATTTCTACAGAAACTTGGTGTCAGTGTAACGCTAAAAGAGAAATTGGCTCTCTGTCGTGTTACATCTGCGAAGGCGCTCACACGCAGATTTATTTCTAGGCCGGCTTTAGTCACGAACAGATATAGATGTTTCCTCAAAGGACGATTACTTGTCAGTTACAAATGAAAAGTAAAATAAAGAAATGAGGTAAGTGTTTTGATTGGGAGAGCTGAGGGAAAGGAAACCTGTTTCACCCGGAACCAATTAGGAAACAAAAATTGCTAAATTAAAAAAAAAAAAAGAAAAAAAAAAGAGGGAGAGTTGGACCAGACGCAACTGGAGCCGGTTATGGCTTCCTGATTAACAAAAATGAGTAGCAGACCTCATGAAGCAGACTACGACCATTTGTTTTGTTGCACTTAGCAAATGGAGACGTGGAGAACCAGAAATGATTGCCAAATAAATGTAAGCACCTTCACGTGATGCTTTCTTGTTAAAATGTTTATAGCCATCTGAGGCAAAGGGTTCAGTTCCTTGCTTCCTATTCTCGCTACACTCATTTCCTGTCTGTACAGCGTCAACCAGGAAGTTCAGATCATCTCTCCCAATGACCGTAAAAGGCAAAGATTACATCCCCTACTCCAACATCTCTCTGCTTGGCTTACTAACCGTACGGCGAGACAAGAGATTTAAAGAGGAGCAGTAGGGTGCTGTGGTGGCGCAGGGGCAAAACACAACCCATGTATTGAGGCCTTAGTCCTCATGCTGGTGGTTGCAGGTTCGATTCCTGGTCTGGTGACATTTGCTACGTCTTCCCCCTCTCTCACAACCCTCTTTCCTGTCAAACTACTTTCAAATAAAAGCCACTGGAGCCAACAAAACCTGGAAAAAAAAGAGGACCAGTAAAAGCATTTGCAGCAAATTATGTCACCATCCAGGAGATGTTACTGTGAAATATCATCTTCACAGCCCAATAGCTGAGCAGGTGTCATGACTACAATGATTCTGTCAGTCAGAAGCCTCTTCAGATTTGCTGAGATTCCATTACAAATGTGCGCAAAACTGTCAATATTCCAGCAATGTAAAAAAGGACACAATTTCACAGTTGCTGTGTTTTCATTAAATTGGAAACAAAATTAAAATCAAACGTGAATATACTTGTTAACACAATAAGTCTTTAAAAATCATGCTGCACCGTTGTCCTCCTACCACTTCCTGTCGTCTTTTTCGTCTTTTCCACCAGTAGTAACATCCGATTGTTGATCACATGACTTGCAGTCATCACAGTTTTTTTTTTAATACACCAATTTCAATTCAGCTGAGAAACCATGTTAAATTAACACAAAAACAGTCAGTGAAAATCACGACTTTTTTTTCCAAATTGCTGTGTTTCCTTTAAGCAAATTTATTTTTGTAATTCCAACTTGCGTAAATTTACGGTCAATGGAAACTGCATTCACACCTTTTGGGAAAAATAATAATAGACAGTCCAAAATAAAATGTACATCACTGAAAACAAAAGCCAAGCGACGTGGAAAGATGCAGACTGAAAGGAGGAGTAAAAGAATCTAAAGACATTTTTACCAACTCTTTCATTTGACTTTGTTTGAGCTTTCGTAAGACAGCACATTAAAGATAAAGCACTCATTGAAGCTTCCCGCTAACACCTCCCAGCTGACTCCACGGTCCTTTCCAGTATGATATAATCCTCTGGTCATCTGCTCTCCCATGACTACTACCTTTATCGCCGTGCTTCCACAGTTGTCAGACGTCTGGATCACAGCTTCATCTTTCATGGAAAAATCCCGCAGGGCTCGGGGAAGTGAGAGGAAATCCCTGTTTGGTTCCAGTTACTGAGATTTTCAAATAAATGGTGTGTCTTGTATTATTTTTTTGAAATAAAAAGAGAAAAGAGTTCATAGGCATCTTTTTTACAAAGATGAAGTCATGGAGACGGTAACAGGTTGGCTTTGCTCAGGTGTAATAACTCAGAAGGTAGAAAGTAGGAGCTCGTTGGATCAGGTTGGCTCACGACAGTGAGTTCATGACCAGCAGCCTGTCTGTAGACGATTTCTCTTTCTGCATCCGTTCTACATCGACTCACATCTACCGTGTTGCAGATAGTTGATTTAAATATTGCTGATGTTCAACATTAATCTGCAGGCAAAGTTTAAGTTCTTGATGGCTCAAGCTAAAGAACTTATGTGTCAGTATTTCGCTTCAAGTCTGTTTTTCTACACCAGAACGGCAGTAAACTATGGGTCTACAACGTTCAACCATTAACTATTCACACCGAGTGCAAAGCAGCTGCTGTAAAGCGATGCCTCATAGTAGAAATTCACTCGTAATGTACAATATGACGTAAGAAAATGTGTTTATACTTCTAGTATTCCCATAAGTATTCTATCAGCATAGCATTTTGGTTTGTTTTCTTTGTTCTGAATATTAGTATATTAGTAGGAGAAAGCAAGCAAAAACAGTTTGATGAAGTAACATTATTTAAAGCAGACTTTCTATTAAACTAACAAATGACAAAAACTATGAGGCATCACGGAGTTATTTTTCTAAACAACGAGGCATTTTATGGACAAAATGTCTATAAAATGTCTAAATTTTCTTGAAAGCAAACTCAATTATTTTTTATTTAAGACTTCTTTGAGAAATCTTTTAACATTAATTTCTCATGAAGTGCAACATGAACTGTCGTCTGTGATCATATGGTGTATTGATCTAATATACATCTCTTCATCTTCAAAAAAAATCAAAGCCAAAATGCTTACAGAAACCTTTTTGATGCTTATACTTGGAAAAACAAACTTAAAATCTATTTCTATGCCTTTTTAGACTTTTTAAACAACCACAAGGACTTGGAAGAGAGGGAAGATTCACGTGTGAAGAGGAAGAAAGGAGGGGGTGGTGGTAAAGTGTCACACGGTTTAATAGAGGAAAAACAAAGAAGAAGAAGCTGGGATGGCAATGAGTTTGTGTGCGAGTGTGAATCAAGACCTTGAATCATTCCACACCAAAACGTACACACTTCAGAATAACTTGTTGTCGTCTGTTTAGATGAAACCGGATCATACATCCGACTTTGCTGAGGCTCAACTCGTCCTGTTTTCAGTTTTTGAGGACAACGACCTCTTTATTTCATCTCTTGGGGCTCCGGGAGATGAGGCGAGAAGGCCAGGTGCAAGCTTTGCAGCAGACACACAAACACTTTTACAAAAAGATGCAGGAAAATGACACACTCACACACACACACTTTTAATTTGTGCAGCTCAGCAAATGCGAAAGCCAACAAGTTCTTATTGATCAAACAACCGGTGCGTGTGGTGAGCTAAATGCTCGTCATCATTTTTAGATATTTCCAATAAGCGAGAAGTCAGAATAGTCCTTTTTCTTTCGTGAATGGTTCCACACAGCAGCTGCCGAAGGATTTCCAGTCTTTCATCTACAATGCTGTGATGACAATTATTTAAAAAAAAGTGTTTTAGCAGAGTAGAATGAAACTGCTTGGATCAAGGTAAAGTCAAGGCTCCTGGTTTTCCCCTCTAGCTGCAGTTTTCACCAAGTTTCCTCAACTGGAGGTGTTAAAAACAAACTTCCAACACAAGAATTCAATTGAGATTCACTGTATTTTTTATTGGATAGCTTTTAGGGAAAATGAGAGTGAATAAAAAGAGTGAAATACTTTTATGTGTAGTGGTCATATGATGAAACCTAAATATAGACAACAATAAGATGTGCCAAAGACAAACTAAAAGAATTCAGTGAATAAACAAAAGAATCAGACCTTTTACCTCGACTTTTCTAATTCTAATCAGGGAGTCTAACTCCAGCAGATAACAGGAAGGCTCAAAGTGTTACAGTGAAGTTGATCTGTTTTACCCTTTTGAACTGTGAACTGGTGTCTGGCTTTGGAAATGCTGGCAGCATTTTGAATTTGAATTTATTTTATTTAAATGGGACGAAGCATATGAACGTAGGTTACGTTCATATGCTTTTATACGCTGGAAGTTTTCTGCAGGTGAAAACGTCATGAAACCAGATACTGGAAATCAACAAACACTCCAGAAAATGCCTCTTTTGACCATCAACAAGCACTACAACAACTACAAACAGAAATGTTTTTCAAATTTCATTTACATTTAAGGCCAGTTTATAAGAAGCTTATATTATGCTCTTACTGGAACTGATCATCCAGTGTTTCGATAAAGTTTATTTTAGTATATTCTGGCTTTAATTAGATTTATTTCAGTCATGTAGACTCACAACGACAGAAGAGCCAGACAGGCTGGTCCCTTATAAGTTATTTTACAGCAGACCTTTCACGGTTCAGATTTTGAATTTTTTCTTTTTGGAACATAAATCAAAAATATTAGTGGAAAATTTGCCTATTTCATATATATATATATACACACAGGGGTGAAAGTAGGGGGGTACGGTCGGGTACTGTGTACCCCTAAACGATTTAGCGGGGGTACACAGTACCTGCAAGAGAGAGGAGCGACTGTCTGCTGTAAAGAATCACTGGGTTCACTGTGCAGCCGTGAGTCATTAGTTTTTCAAGAACAATCCAAAACATGACTTAATCAGTTAATAAATAACTTTTTTCTCATTTCATATTGTTTCTGAACTCTTTGTGCTTTACTAGAGCAGGGGTCCAATAATACGTCGATCGCGGAGAGTTTTGAGTCGATCTCGGCATTAGGTGACAAACTGAACGCCGCCAGGACGCTGAGATCAGCACGTCCTCCTCTGACTCGCTTAAAACGTTCGTAACTTTATTAAAGAACAACAACAAAAAAAATCAACAAAATGTGTTCAAATTAATGACCCAACAACAATAATAATCTCAGTAATTATTGTTTCAACAAGGTTGCGCAATTCTGTGCGTTTCGGTTCCATTACCAAAACAATGAGCAGAGCAGGAGTTTAAAATGAACTAATCAACCACCGCTGTGTTCAGGGAGGCTTATTAATGATTGCAAAATAAATATCAAGCCTGAAAACCTGATATTGTAACGGACTGAATGTTTTAAACGTAATCTGTACTCGGCTCGAGGAGCACAGGTGGTTGCCACGGCAACGGGTGTGCTTAAATGACAGAGAGAGACGGAGAATAAAAAGGTGCGAGTGGTTTAGACTTGATCACCTGTTCAGGTTAATTTACCTTCGTCTTGGCTCATCACAGCCGCTGTAGTTTCTGAACGTTCAATAAACGACAAACTTGGACTAATTACCTCGTTCTTTGTGAGTATACGTCATTTACAACAAACATCAAACACGGTAAATATGTTTCATTAAGTGTTTAACAAACCAATGAATTCTACCGTGATAATTATGTGAAATTAAATTGTCTAATTCAAAAATAATAGTTTTATTGCTCTCTGGCATCTCGCTTTGAGCTGAGAGTCTGAGACATTTTTCCTCTATCAAAAATGTTTTGCTTCTTATTTAGTGGAAATATTGATGTTGATGAGACGTAATGATAACCTTTTTCAACCTTTATAGCTCCACTATTGAAAATGAGGCTCTAATATTCACAAATGACATTGAAATAAAATCCAGAGGTGATTCCTCTGGAACCTGTTGGAGGAAAAATATCCCAACTTCAGAAGATGAGCTCTAACTTAACAGAGCTCTGTGGTTCC